GCATTTTATATACTGTGTGAAATCCAGATGTTTCCATATCGCATGTTGTTTAGATTTTCAATAAAAGAAATCCAAATGTTACCAACGTTTGCCATATGTTGTGAGTACATAATTTTATAAAGGATTGGGGATATTTTGCTTGTCCTTTGGTTGAACACAGAAGCGCCGATTGCATGTCGTGCAATGCTAATACTGATTATCGGCGGAAACATTCCTGTTTCCCCATACAACATAGATAACGGCGTAATCTTCCTTAATGTTTAAAAGAAATCTGATAACATTAACGCTGGATTTGTTCTAACTTTTCAAGATTTTCGAAGCCCCATACTTCCCAGCCGTAAGACCGTAGCGGCACTATGGTTTCATGAAAACATTTCTTCAAAGGCATATGTAATATCTTTCAGTGTAAGGCTTTGTAGTTGTTTTAGAAGTCTCTCTTTAGGAATATAAAAACACAGTGATCTCCTCGAAACTAAGATGCATATGTTTATAACTATAGACGAAAATCGCTGAGATGACATTGTACAAGCATGTTTTTAATCTCTTCCAGACTAAGTAGCGTGAAGAATATAAGATTAACAACACCTCCTTATAACACGGGTATTGTCAGACAACATGGACGAGTTTACAGAGAAGACAGATGTGTGTTGGACATGGTGTGGACAGATTCATGCAAATGTTGTATGAATGGCGAACACAAGGTCGACTGAGTGGTTGCCTTGTGGTTTGAACGGTAGCTCCTCACGCCGAAGACGCCGAGATCAAATCCCCATGGAATACGGTCACATTCGACGTAGAGCATACCCACCCACTGAGGCCGACTGAGCATTAGCTGAGACTCTCAGAATCGCACTTTAAAACCGTGTACTTTCATTGTCAGTTTTGTATCCTGTTTAAAAGCTAACTTTTCTGAACTCAGGGTAACTTCAGTTGACCTAAAGAGGAGTTTATCAATGTGAGCGCGCGCACTGCTGGAGAGCCGGAGCTCATTCATTTTCACGTGAGTTCCAATTGACAGTTGCATGACATGCACGTGAAGTACGGTCATTTGAACTCTTTCCGCCACCTAGCTGCACGATAGGCGAGACTTCCGCCCGTATCCCCCCTTTAAATTATGATTAAAAGGATTTCAGTGGCAATGCATACATACATAACTTTTGAAGGGGGGATACGGGCGGTAGTCGTTCCAACATACACTCTGGTTCACCTGATGAGACAACACTAACACATGGACTGTACATGTATTTATTCAGCTAGAATACACATACTACGTTCAAGGTACAGTTGAGCAGCCATTTAAGTAGTGCCTTTCGAAGTGTAATACATATCCATTTGTCTGAAATGTGCATGCAAAATAACTCAAAGCTGGAAGCATCTCTAGAATCGACTAGATCCCTTGACTCACGAGGAGAGCTTTGCCCGTGTAACTCAATGCAATAAAAGTGTTTTTAAGGGATGTGATTTCCCGACTGAGAAAAACAAGTTGTGTTTGGAGAATGACCTAAAATGTAACTTTGCAATAATTTGACACAACTAACATTGTTCTGACAAAGAAAGTTAATGGCTGGGAAAGAAAATGTTTCTCGTTAGGGAGCAACCATTTCCTTTAAGTGGAAGGGCGCGATATTTTCTTGAAAGATAATCAAAGCCGTGAATTAGTGAAAAGGTTTATAGTTTCCCGCATTGTAGTAACACAATTAATGTGCTCTTTTCTTGCAGGTAAGTGCTCAAAGAATACGCACCTTATATATTGGAAATCATAATTCATTAAAAAGAAAACCCGTGAAGATCCGGGGTAGAATGGGTCTTCACCAACCCATGCTTGCCGTAAAAGGCGACTATGCTTGTCGTAAGAGGCGACTAACGGGATCGGGTGGTCAGGCTCGCTGACTTGGTTGATGCATGTCATCGTATCCCAATTGCATGGATCGATGTTCATGATGTCAATCACTGGATTGTCTGGTCAAGACTCGATTATTTACAGACCGCCGTCATATAGCTAGAATATTGCTGAGTGCGTCGTTAAGCAACAAAAAACAAAAACAAACATTAAACAAAAAGGTCACCTCAAACCAAAATGCCCCTCCACCTGAAAGTCAAATGGTTACACCCTTAATAGGTAAATATCTAAATAGATGGACGAGATTTGACGTATTTCCTACGTAAAATATCATATGAAACATGTTGTAGTGGTTAGTAGACGCACATTACTGTCAGCCGTTGATAATGTGCATGTTTGCCCTATTTGAGTTGAGTTGAGTTTAGTAACCTTTGGACTTTGAGGTAATATGATGTACCAACAATATTTCTGAGTGTATTGTGTTTGGTCCAACAGTAAATATTTGTCTATCGGCTTGACAATTGAGATACACGACATTCGTCAACACTCGGCTCTTTCCGTACATTCTTAATTGATTTCCCATCCTGATGCTGTCAGACCGAAATGACACGAGTGGTCACGAATGTATACGATTGTTTATCACAAGTACATGTATAAAAATAAGAAAAATAAAATAAAACTTCATTTGGATTTGTTATTAAAACAACAAACTGAATCATACAGTTGATTAGTACATTTCGCTAAGATAGCATCGTTATCACGTGCTCTGTTGCATTAGATCCCCGAAAGTCAAACCGCAAAACAACTTTGAGTTCATTCAGTGCGACGTGCAAGAATAAAATCAATTTATTTAAAAATGCATGACATCTCTATATATTCGACAACCTAAACGTTAATGCGATAATATGTACAAAGAAGATCAAATAAACTAGTTAGGATAACTTGATATGAAAGGTGAAAACATGCAGTCACGGCCATATAGCTCACGGGTTAAATGGAAGTTCAGATCCGACCCGGAATAGAAATTGCAGGTATATCAACCAAAGTGTCTCGGCTCGTTGACGTTTAACTTGAGGTGAATCCCACAAGCACAGGTATCATGTAAACGCGAGTCAAAATAATAATTTACAGTATGAGCCATATTACATACGTGATGGTGGTGATTATTATTATTATTGTTGTTATTATTATTATTATTATTATTATTATTATTATTATTATACAATGCTGAAGTAATGGGTATTGTTTTTCAGTAGGGTATATTTTGTAAGATTACATTAATACTATAGAAAGTACATAATGTTACACTTATCACTAACTCGTGTTCGGTAACAGTGCCTGCGCGTATATATATAAACTTCGACCATTTAGTCACACTGCCTTTTCGAAATTATAAGATGTGCAAAAATCATTAATGGCTAAACAGTTGACTTTGACAATCTACTTTTCAACAAAATACAAATGGTATAAACAACCTGGGGCCTGTTCCACAAAGCTATCTTAGCATTACGACTATCGTAAGCCTATATTAAAGTATGGGATCATCTTAGCACTAAGATTTCTTTGTGGAGCGGGGCCCTATAGGTTAGATACAATATGATACGGATAGAAAGTGGTGACTGTTTGCATTCAGGGTGTTCTCACTGACAAAACCTCATACCACCACACTGAGACGGGGCACAACAAGCTCGTGGTGGAACAAACAACGGACATATGCTAACACTTGGGATCGGTATTTACATACAGATGTTGATGTTAACATGATACATAAAAAGTTCACACCTAAGGCAAAAAGTCAACAAACAACTCATTGAAAAACAACAACAAAACAATCCAAACTGTACAACCATAATACAGATACTATGTTGAAAGCAGTTGATCATTCATACATCATACATACAAGCTCCTTACTGTCAGCTTAAAACGTTGTGAGGAGACGGCCCTCGCACCACCATATAATTCCCACGAAAGGTTTTATTACCCACAAGAGTTACTATTTATTGACTTTTTCACTGTCAGTGTTTTGTGAAGACGGCGCTATTATTTTACATATATCAGAAAGACATAAGTTACTGACAGCTTTATATAGAGCAGACATCCCCTATACTACGAGTTCGTGTTTTCATTTTTGTTTCACATATCCGATAATTTGTTCGTAGGTTTCCGACCGTTTTATATTCTCATAGAGTAGTGGTAAGGGAATTGGCCCCAGCACGCGCGCGCGCGCACACACTAAACATTAAATTATCAATGGTGGTACGTTTGTACGAGAGCTTGAAATTGAAGACTTCATGAAATTAATCGGGTAACGTACTGATGGAATTATTGGCGAGGAGTCTTACATCAATCGGTACAAATACTATCTTTCAAGAAACTGTTACAAAAGGATTTGATAATTATGTATGACTGTCGTTTAAGCAGTTGAGGTGTATAAAGGGGCCGGCCTACCATTTAAGATCATAGGGGGGGGGGGGGGGGGGGGGTGTCTGTTCCAGACATGATATTTTAGGAGTTAATGATTCAAACTATCAAATCGTCGGTCCCTACTGAAAAATATAAAGTTTGTACAGTTACCAAGAGGGGTCATTTTCCCTCACAGTACGTGATTTGTCACCAGATAATGTTGCATGCTACTTCAAAATGACAGGGAAACTCGTCCACACAGAATACCGGGGACCAAATCCCATGGTCTTGCATACTCACGTCGTGGGCTTTTCCACCCTTGATTCGTGCACCCGATCAATCAAAATGAACTTACCCGAGCACAGGTTAGTACGCACGAGGATACGAGGTAGGTTTAGCAACGCCTGCATTACATCATGTCACCCATGCTCGGATTTGTGAGCACGCGCTTCGTGGACCAGGGCCAGTTTGGTGCACGGATTTGAACGTGCTTCACGGGGATTTAAGCAAAGGCCCTGCCCCGTGAGTTGCGCGATGACTAACGTATATCATTTGAACATGAAATTTGCGATAATCCTAGCATAGAAATGACCACAAACGTCCAAGTTCAAGCAGACATAATCTGTTTGGATGGGAAAGGCTACCAAAAACAGAATGATCTACCCGACTATGGGTTGTACCAATGGCTACATTCTCAGTCAAGATGCACACCTTGCAAGGAATCGAGCTGCACTTAGAAAGAGAACATGACAGGTTAAAATGTTATGCTTGTTTTATTTAGTTTACACATCAATTCAACAAAATCATATTCTCTACAGTAACTTGAACAACACAGTAGAAATATACAGGGAAACGGGACAAAATATAACAAACATGCTATCTTCATGCTGTTGCTTTCACGCCTTAGATTCTAATTGAGGCACAGTGTTATCTAGCTTCACAGTCACAGAGTCCAAAAACACCAACATCGTGTTCAAACCAAATAACTTCAGCATCACAGACCATAAATGCTAATATCTCAAAGGTAGTAGAAATACTATGTTTTTTTACATATCTGTTGAAGTTATCAGTACATGTCTAGGCTGATCAAATGTGCATCATCTGAAACAGTACAAGAGTTTGATTTGTTGAGAGTGAAGCTACATACACCATGCATTCTGCTATTGACATCACAAGATATGACATTGCACTTGACACATGCACAATATCCAGAAATACACAAGCAGGGCAGTGACATGGATCACACTTGATGAACTGATGGGGAGATTCCTGCCCTGTGCTTGACAACATTTCAAACTAGTTTAGTCTTCTACATGCCATTTAGGCCACAGGAAAATAAAGACATAAACATAGTTATTTACACTGATGACCTATTCATCTTAACATAACATAGTCAGTAGTATCTGACTTAAAGAAGAAATTGTGGTTACAATTACATGAAATTAAAAAGAAAATTATTAATGTCATTTTTTCAACTGGTTACAAAATGGTTGTTGGTTTGTTGTTTAACACTGCAATATTGCAGCTGTATGACAGCTGTCTGTAAATAACTGAGTCTGGACCAGACAATCCAGTGATTGACATCATGAGCATCGATCCACGCAACCGGGATCGATGACATGCATCAAACAAAGGGTTACAAAAAGAGTGAGGTAAGCATTAGATTGAAATCTAATTTCTGTGACCATAAAAAACAATCTGTGATAATCTGTTTTTAACAACCTGAAGAAATAAAGAAAAACATACAACCTTCTCGGATTGAAACTTATCTGTTCTAAAAGCAATCGTATTGGGCATATTGAACAACTATACTATTCTCCATGTAACTGACACACAATGTAGTACCTTTGTAAATGATGGCCTGTTGAGGTACCAGTTATTTAAAAAGTGACATAAAAGTTTGCCCTGCTATTCATAAATCTCATGTACATTTCAAATTACACTGGTATCAATGTCAAACATATTTGTAGTGACATCTAAGTATTCTGCAATCAATACTTGTCAATTTGACACATCATTTTCATGTCAGTTTCCGTGTGATCCACGTCCCCTCCCACCATGTATGACTTCCAATATTATAAATACAAAGCACATTACATGTAGATTTGCACTAGGTGTCTACTGAGTATCACAAACTACAGGCAGGTGCTTGCTGTGCACTCCAGCAGTTGCAAGCAAATCATCATCGTTGAATGGATTTAGCTCAATATTAAAGGATGAGAGAAAACTGATCATTATGAACATGTGTATATACAATGGTTAATTCCGTAAATACAATGTTGTAAACTAAACTGACAACAGTTTCATCTCGAGAGTAGGATCATATCCAGAATCTGTCTCATGGTGGGTGTGAAGGTGGGGTGGAAATGGGCACAGTGCTACGACTGTCGTAAGTCAATGTTAAAGTATGGGAGTTACGATTACCTTAGCAGTACGACTGTTGTAAGTCAATGTTGAAGTATGGGAGTTATGATCATCTTAGCGCTACAACTGTTGTAATTCAATGTCTAAGTATTGGAGTTACGATCACCTTGCAGTACGACTGTCTAAGTCAATGTTGAAGTATGGGAGTTATGATCATCTTAGCGCTTCTACTGTCATAAGTTATGTTAAAGTAGGGGAGTTACGATCATCTTAGCGCTGCGATCGTTTTGTGAAATGGGGCCCAGACAGATTTACTGGTTTGTGAAGGTCTGATATGATGTCTTTTGACAGTAACGCAACAACATTCATTATGGTTAATGTTACTACCAGAAAATTATACTAAATGTCGGTCATCAATGAAACTCATGTAATGAACTGATTGCACATGACAACCATCATAGCTTTACAACTGTTATTACTTCTCAGCAGCATGATTGCAGTATTAGCCTTTTTGTAACTTGTCAAACTTGTTGAAGTCATAACTGTAAGACTGCCTTATGTACCTGGTTTGTTACTTGTGGTCTATTCCTGAAATGTTTCCTGATGAATACCACTTAGACACGTATCTGTCATAAACCAGCTGTATTTATGACTGTATGGATGATAAAACTGACATCAAACATCATCCTTCTGATCTAGAAACTTTAACTCGACACTATTAGGTAACCTCTAAAACACAGAGCTACAAAAGTCGAAGTGTTTCCTCTGAACACACTTTTCCCCATCATCAGACAAGAATACGTCCCCATCATCAGACAAGAACATGTCCCCATCATCAGACAAGAACATGTCCCCATCATCAGACAAGAACATGTCCCCATCAGGCAAGAACACATCCCCATCATCAGACAAGAACGTCCCCATCATCAGGCAAGAACATGTCCCCATCATCAGGCAAGAACACATCCCCATCATCAGACAAGAACATGTCCCCATCATCAGACAAGAACATGTCCCCATCATCAGGCAAGAACACGTCCCCATCATCAGGCAAGAACATGTCCCCATCATCAGGCAAGAACATGTCCCCATCATCAGACAAGAACATTTCACGATCATCAGACAAGAACATGTCCCTATCATCAGGCAAGAACACGTCCCGAACATCAGACAAGAACATGTCCCCATCATCAGGCAAGAACATGTCCCCATCATCAGGCAAGAACACGTCCCCATCATCAGGCAAGAACACGTCCCTATCATCAGACAAGAACACGTCCCCATCATCAGGCAAGAACACGTCCCCAACATCAGACAAGAACATGTCCCCATCATCAGACAAGAACATGTCCCCATCATCAGACAAGAACATGTCCCCATCATCAGGCAAGAACACATCCCCATCATCAGACAAGAACATGTCCCCATCATCAGACAAGAACATGTCCCCATCATCAGGCAAGAACATGTCCCCATCATCAGACAAGAACACATCCCCATCATCAGACAAGAACACGTCCCCATCATCAGACAAGAACATGTCCCCATCATCAGACAAGAACACATCCCCATCATCAGACAAGAACATGTCCCCATCATCAGACAAGAACATGTCATCAGACAAGAACATGTCCCCATCATCAGACGAGAACATGTCATCGTCAGACAAGAACATTAAACGATCATCAGACGAGCGCTTCCCTGTCAGATAGGAACATCAGACAAGAACATGTCCCCATCATCAGACAAGAACATGTCCCCCCAAAACACTGTTATTTAACCCATTATTTAAACCTACCCCTTCACTGAATAAGAAGAGACAATAGCTGGTGAATTTGTAACCCCAGATTTTGTACAGTTTAAAATGCATGTGATATATGCATAGAGATATGGTACAAGATTTCTAAGTACAAATAAATACAAAATTGGCACAACATTAAAGATGAGACTTAGCACTGTTGCAGGACTCCCCACATCATGTAATATCTAGCCCCTCCAAGCAGTGTCAGAACCACAACACCCCCCATTGCAACGTGAGAGCTGTGCTTGCAGTGATGAGGAGTGAACCTGTCTCAGTCGTGTCATCAGTTTTCTCATATCTCAAGGTTTCCAGCAATACCTCAGGGCACTTGACATGGTGTCCCATATTGTGCAACTATAGATTCTGTGAAGAGGATCATGAAAGAATATCGGACAGACGTTGGATTCAGGGTTACCTCAACTGGACAAGATTACTTCAAATTTTGAAACCAACCAAAGTATGTGCATGTTGAGACAGCAAGTATCAATAGTACTCACACCATGTGCCCATAGGGAACTGAACCAAGATCATCTTGCAAGAAAAATATGCTTGCACTACTGAGCTGCTACACTGAGTGAAATGTCCAACAATTGTACCATTTTTTTATGATCTTAACAAACTTTGATAGGACATTCTTCTGCATCATTGCCAATAATGAAAAGAAGCTTTAGTCATTTGGGATAACACTCAGTGTCCCAGAGCATCATTCTATCCGAAACCATGCCCTCTGTCACTCCATCCGAAGATCCAAAGTTAAGGGAGATGTCAACGGAGGTATTGCTGGAAAAGTCTTGAGATAAACAAGACAAATAATGAACGTCACTTGTTTCTTTTAGAAGGTATACAACTGCAAGTTTTCAACTCCTTGAAAGACTCACACGTGTGATAATAAAGTTTGAGGTTCCAACTGCATACATATTACTGCTTCCTGGGCTTATATATTGTGCACATATTCATGAAAGACAGACATACAGGACAAAGCTAGGTTAGTTTCCAACACAATAACAGAAGACTTAACTTTGGACAGCCCATTAGCAGGATATATCTATCAGTGGGTATAACAGTATCACATACAGAGGTCTTGGAAAGTTAACATCTAGTTTCATTGATACTTCATATATTACTGGTATGCATGGGTCGGTGTATTTTATCAGATACTGATTTACAAGGAATTGTTTAAGAAAATAGAATTGAGCAATGACTTAATCAATATTTGGTCCAGCAATGACATTGGCATGATAAAGAATTTACATGACATGATTGTTTGCAAATTGTTTGATCATTTTCATGAATGTTAATAATGTTGATATCAAGACTTTACACAAAGCACTGTATTATGTTCTTAAGTACACTGTCAAACAGAAATGGTGATGATTCTTTTGACTATACATGAACCCGGGAATTTCGTTTGATTAGATATTTGTAAATGGCTGCTTCAAAGTAAAGCTTAAACAATATGTTACAACACTGGGGACATTAGAAATCACTACACACACAGGTGACACTGATGATATGAAGCTCAAAAAGGCAAGTCATTGTAATGATCCTTGTCATTTGGGAGTGAATGTCATTGTCCAGTGACCCTGAATGGTTTCATTTCACTGTTGGTTCAGACGCTTCCAATGACCTGAACTATTTCTATAGATTCAACAGATAAAGTATGAGAGTTATCCCCCTTTACATAGTTATCTCCCTTTGATCACTGAAGAACACATTCTTCTTCTCAGCAAGAAACATTAACTCACACAAGCGAAATCTAGTGCAAGGAAAATATTGTGACTTGATATATAAAAATGTGCTGACAAATATCCATGTCCCATTGATAAATAAACTACTAGATTGCACGTTCCGAAGACAATTACAATTTTGGTTGAACGGTTTTGCTTTGGGAACAAAAGCATTTGCATATGCTCATCAATAAGCAACAGGCGGATCGGAGATTAATGAATGCTATCTCCATGTAGAGGAGTATCCACAAACAATTTCCGACCAAACCTCATTTGTCACGCATCTTAACTTGACAAGATAATCCAGTTAAACTGTCAGCTGGTGTTATAGTAATGTAAAATGCTTCAATGACATGACGTGAATTCTCACTGTTGTGTATCAACCCCATGAAACTGATGAAAGCAACAAAACACGCTGCATGCAATGTATGATTCTAAAACCTGACAGCAATGCTCAAGACAATCAATTGTGCACAAATGTCATCCAACTCAAGCCTCACGTCCTGTCCATCAGATCATGCATCATTCAGCGAGACGGGTCAACCATGCTGTCCCTCTTGGGAACACTTCATGCTGGGTAGGAAATATGTAGTACATCTTGATGAACATCACCTCCCAAAGTCCATCAAAGTCTCTCCATGCATCTTCCGTCTCTACCTCTATCACAAGTCGCACAAAAGGTACCCCACTAACAAGTCATGCATGCCATTTTAGAAGTTGCAAGTCCACTTTCGTGTTGCTTTGAAATGAGAAATCAACCTGGTTTGGGAGATAGTCATCTTTTCTGCAGAAGCAAAAAACAAGCTCTGTGTGCATTTCTCACTGAAAGAGAGTCACAAGTTGTTTAGCCGCTTTAGCAATGTCATATGCGAACTGAATGATTAGCTGTGTTTTGTGAGCTGCTTCCACCTCCGAGTCTGGCTCTTGCTGAGCGCACTTGCGGCACTCTTCTTGGAGCCGAGCGGCACTCATGGTGAGAAGTTGTAAGGCTGCATTCACCGTGTCAGGCCTCACAGGCTGGAACGACAGACAATATTCATGTACTAATTCATATGCCTTGGAGAAAGGTCATGTCACCCCACACATCACTCCACATATCACCCCACACATCACTCCACATATCACCCCACACATCACCCCATATATCACCCCACACATCACTCCATACATCACTCCATACATCACCCCATATATCACCCCACATATCACCCCACACATCACTCCATATATCACCCCACACATCACTCCATATATCACTCCATACATCACTCCACACATCACCCCACATATCACCCCACACATCACTCCATATATCACCCCACACATCACTCCATACATCACTCCATACATCACTCCACACATCACCCCACATATCACCCCACACATCACTCCATATATCACCCCACACATCACTCCATATATCACTCCATATATCACCCCACATATCACTCCACATATCACCCCACATATCACTCCACACATCACCCCACACATCACCCCATACATCACTCCATACATCACTCCACACATCACTCCATACATCACCCCATATATCACCCGACACATCACTCCATACATCACTCCATACATCACTCCACACATCACTCCATACATCACCCCATATATCACCCCACACATCACTCCACATATCACTCCACACATCACCCCACACATCACTCCATACATCACTCCACACATCACTCCATACATCACACCACACATCACTCCATATATCACCCCACACATCACCCCACACATCACCCCATATATCACCCCACACATCACTCCATATATCACCCCACATATCACTCCACACATCACCCCACACATCACTCCATACATCACCCCACACATCACTCCATATATCACTCCATACATTACCCGACACCTCACCCCACATATCACTCCACATATCACCCCACACATCACTCCATATACCACTCCACACATCACTCCACATATCACCCCACACATCACTCCACACATCACCCCACATATCACTCCATACATCACTCCACACATCACCCCACACATCACTCCATATATCACCCCACATATCACTCCACATATCACTCCATATATCACCCCACATAGCACTCCACATATCACCCCATGTGTCACTCCACATATCACCCCACACATCATCCCACATATCACTACACTTATCACCCCATATATCACTCCACATATCACTTCATATATCACTCCACATATCACCCCACATATCACTCCACACATCATCCCAAATATCACTGCACTTATCACCCCATATATCACCCCACACATCACTCCATACATCACCCCATATATCACCCCCACATCGACCCAAATATCATCATATATCATGTCATAGATGGCCTGTATATCCCCACAGTTACTGGCCGCTGTGGCCACCCAGGAGGTACTGGAGACGTGTTTTCACTTTCTCTACATAATGCCCCAATGAGTGAGGTGAAGAAAATAGATAGAGCCCTCTTCTTATAGTCAGAGGTTTCTCTAAGAAGAAGACACTAACCTGTGGAAATATTTCCGCCATGTCCACCACAGCAGAATATATCTTGTCAGAGCATGGTCCATAGCTGAAATAATAAGTGAGTGGGGCTGAGAGACCTAGTAGTAGTAGTAGTAGTAGTAGTAGTAGTAGTAGTAGTAGTAGTAAAGTACTCACGGAAATGAAAAAAACCTGTTTTTTTTCAATTTAAAAATCGACACAAAGTGTTACGTAGCTGTAAATACGAAATAACAAAACAACTCGAAAAATTCTAGTCTGGATTTGCTAGTTTGATCTCAGTGAACAATACAAAATGTACTGTACAGGAGGTAATAAATTATTACCCTCGTCAATGGATCAGTGGGCACTCGACAATTATTTCAGCTCCCTGGGGAGTATACAACCCAAGCCATATTGCCACCGGGTACCCATTCACTGATTAGTGAGGAGACAAGGAGACACAACACCATGTGTTACATGTGCTCCAGTGTGGAGCAGGACCGAAGCCCTAGAAACTCTCAGGAGCCAAGCTGCTGAACATGGTCACCCATCGGAGGACTCTCCGCGACCGATGTTGCTTAACCTCGACTGATTTGTGACCTGTGCTCTGTGCACAGAACCACATGCCACCACACCACACATCCTACTGAGTATTTCAGGGATTAGCAAGTCAATTGAAGGTGAAGGGGTTAATGTAGGATTCCAGTTCAGCAGATGTACACTGAACTGTGGAACTGTAGACAAACTTTGCAACCAATATTAGAAATATCACCACAGCACTGTTGCTTACATGCTACTTCCTACACTAGAAAGCAGTGTTAGGAACTAACAGTTTTAGTCCACTTGTCCACATAATGCTAACATATAGCCAAACCCGTAATAATGGCAAACGTCTACTAGTCCTTATGATACCTTAACAATTGGGCAGTTTGGCAAGGACTATAGGACAAGTGCCAATTTCTACTGCTGGCAAACTATGCCTATCAGCAACAGACAGTCAAGTCCCGTTAATCAATGATTGGTTGCATATGATTAAGTTTGATTAACGAAATTAAGTAGTATCAACATTCGTGATCGAAAATTGGACAAATACACAATAGATAACGATTTAAACATTTTGTTAGCAGAATATGTTTTCTAATCATGCAACCTCTAAAGCTTTACACAAAACTACTGTTACAGACACCATGACTGATTCAAAATACTTTAAAAGAATAGTCTGGAATGGAAGCCGCCAGTTTGAAACCAGTGCTGCAAAGCTTAAGAAAGCTGCTTCCTTAGTGGCTAATGTCGACTTCCTCCAAGTCATTTAATTTGTCGGTCAAAGTTCGCAAAAGAGATGTAGCGAGAACTTGTATCTGATTTTAATGAGATTGAGGTAATCTAAGCAAGTGATTAATCCTGTTTTGTTTATTTAAAGCATTAATTGTTTATTGTTAAGCAAGTTTATCTCTGCAGCTGTTGTAAAATGCAGCTACCAGCCAACTCATCTTGTATCAAAACACGGGCTGTGTACTCGCGGGCAGATGACCACGGAATACACTAATCACTGTGGCAAACAAACAAGACTTTGGTAATTTGTTGCAAATTAGGTGTGTCGGAGTATACTAACAATACTTCTTGAATGAAACTATTTACAAGTTATTCTATGGGTGAATTATCTTCAAAGTAACCTCAACATTTACCTTATCTTCCATATTTTACTGAACACATCATATCTATCAAGGATTCAGATTCTAGACTTTGTTGTTTCTTGGAAGAAAATTCCCAAAAGAATTCCCAATAATAAGTTGAGTTTCAATTTAAAACAATAAATACCATGTTCAATAGCTGGCCATGAAAGATCAAAGTGATATAATATGTTCCTACAAAAATTGATACATTGTAAGCCCTCTGCCTGTGGTTACGGATTCCAATGATTCAGATGGAAACAAGAGGGAGATATTTACCACTCGGCGTTGTTTGCTTGTGCTGTTAATAATAATTCCTGGATTTTCTTGGTTATTTTTTCAGTCTTCTTTACAACGTCTTCCTGTGTTGGAAGTTGGGCTAGATCTTCCTTCGACAGCGTGACTGAGGCGAATGCTGTAGCTTTAGGTGTGGCACCTTGTGACGACATGGAATCAGTCATCTCCGAACACGGTCGCGAAGAGGCACTGTAACAAAGCATTAACCACTTCAAGACACTTGATCATTTCCATCTCTTTCAGCATCGTTTCCAATATTGTGTGTTTGTTGTTTAACACTGCAGTCATCAATATTCAAGCCATATCAGAGCGGCCTGTAAATAATTGAGTTTGGACCAGACAAATCAGTGATTGAAAATATGATGATCAACACTTGATCACCAGTTCCATTTAGTCCCTCTTATGACCTGGACTCCCCTTGTGGAATATTATTCCTTACATATGAATGTCATTATCAAGCCAAAAATACTATTTCACAAGACTTGTCATTTGGGACTAGACTGTATCATCTGCATTGAAAGCATCAGATGAAAGCTGGCATAGAGGCAGTTGTAACAGTGAGTAAGTGAGTATGGTTTTACGCCACTTTTAGCAATATTACAGCAATACCACGGCTGGGGACACCAGAAATGGGCTTCACACATTGTACCCATGTCAGGAATCGAACCCCGGCTCTTCGGCGTGACGAGCGAACGCTTTAACCACTAGGCTCCCTGACCGCCAAAGGGAGTTGTGACAAGTGGGAGTCAATGAAGCCAATAGTACCTGCCCACAAGACATAAAACCCTTTCCATCAGATATGTTTTCATCAATAATAAAGGAATTAGTGGCAATATTTTTCTGAAAAATATCATCAGTGGCCAGTATTCCCCCCAATGGTGTGATTCTAATTGAGTCTAATTGATGAATGACACAAACACTCAGCTCTCCAAACGTACCAGGCTACATCCTCATCATTGGGCATATCATAGTCAGGATCTGGGACGATGTTGGCGTTAGCGACATCAGGATCAATTGGTTCACTCGGTAACGATAGTTCCTTGTCACCCAGCTGCAAACACCAACTCATGATTAGTACTATACAGAGTCTACAAGCTGTGTGCTCAAGATACTGACTCACAGACCTTAAATAACTCTGATTTAATGGCACAATGAACATATTGAAATATACAATTCCTTCAAGACATCAGTATAAAAAAAATCAACTTAATTCATTGTCATCATTTTCTTATTCAAAACAGTCACATTTTAAATTTGATCACAAGCATTTGGTAAACTTGAGCATGTTGAGAAATGTAATTGTGGAATTTCAGACCCTTGGCCCAATAGCTGCAGACAAATAAAAATCTGGAGATGTTAAGAAGCGAAGGTCAGAAGACGTGTGCTAGTTAATCACATTGAGAATCAGAGAATCAGTTATCAATGGACTATGATCAGAATATTTCTTCATGAAAGTATGCATCGGACATGAATCTGTAGTGAGGCAGTGGTCCTTTGGGCAACCTACGACATGGAGAATAATTTCATAAAGATTTACTCGAACAAAAGTCATTATTCATTATTTCTAATTTGTGTAAAGTGACAAATGAATGTAGAATGACATAGTTATTACACTCATCCCTGCCCACCTAACCCCCAAACATGCTGCCTCACAGCCAATCATAACAACATTGTTTTATCAACCAGATATACATTTTGAAAAATCGATAATCATTTTGAATGCCCAAAATATTGATCAACCAGTTATTTGATGAATCTCTTTGCTACCACAGATGACAAATCCTTAAAATAGATTAGCTGGTCATACAGGATATCAACAGTGTTGAGGTGAGGTGAAATGGGGTGTATCGTCACATTCAAGATGGCTGCTTATACTAGTCCAGACTTATGTCGATTTTATAGTGCTAGCCCAGTTTACTGACTCCGAGCCGACCAGTCCTTATTTTAGCCTCTTAATGGCAGGGTATCAACAAGTACCATCTTTTAATGTCTTTTGGTATAACGCGGCAGGGGATCAAACTCCTGACTTTCCGCTCTCCACGAAGACACTCTACCACTAGACCATAGAGGCAGTCTCAGCAGTGTTGAGAAGCTGTCTCAGAGTAGTAGCTCACTTACCCTCTCTCCATCATAACGGATGTTGGCTTCAGACAGACAGGTTTGAAGTTGATCTTCTCGTGACTGACTCTGAGAAATATATTCACAGTTTAGAATGAGTGAGTGAGTAAGGTTTGAAATCGCTTTTTGGAAATACAGTAAACCCTGTTCATAACGAACACGCTGAGAACAAACAGGCAGATATAACAAACTGTTGCATTTTTTATGCCTGTCATTTCTGTATATTTTATCACATAAAATTGATATTTTAACAAACACGCTTATAATGAAATAACAGATATGACAAACTCATATATTGTCCCGCATGTACTCTGTCAACGACAATGTTTATGTCTATAACAAACTGTTAATCTGAGCCGCTCACATGTCACCAATCAACCAATCAGACACAACATTATGGTACGCCTAAGAGATACAACGCTACACAGCAGTGCCATAGACCAACTGTGTAGAGACCGGACTACAAGTAGCCATGTTGCTTGAATAAGTCATTAAATAATACATGGTACTTTGATTAATTAACACTTAAAAGTATTTATATTTTTTTACTCATGCATTTTGAATCATCGTCCACGATCAGTGTTACATAAATCTACATGTCCCATGCCACTGTGAAATAATTGCGCCACTGTTCAATTTACTACCATCATTACGTAATGTGAACCTCAGCAATGAATAGCTTGACCCCTAGACCCCTAGAACGCAGGGTCGGTTTCTTTGACCCCGATGACAGAAGTATATGGAGGGATCAGTGTAGTAACATTTCTAAACTTGTTACTGCTGATCTCCAATCAGTGTTTGTTTTATTACCAAGTAGGAACTCCTCTGACATTTGTCAAATATCTGGAGCTTCTGGCAAAACCTAGATAAATCCCTGGTTGGTCACTCTCAGGTAACAGCCCAGCAGTTTACTTAGGCCAAATGAAACCACATACCCCCATGGGCTCAAACACAGGCACTAAAATAACATATTAAGGCAACCCACCTTTTGTAACGATGTTCTGGGCTCAAACATCGACTGTGGCCGCATATCCCGCACAGGCCGTTGTGGCAGTTTCTCATCCAGTGAGTCATACTCAGGGTTAGCAGAGTTATTCTCCTTGCTGGCCTCGTAGCCGTTCTGCAGGACCTGAGCTTCATTCCTCCTCTGCATGTTGATGCTCTTCAGGGCACTGTTCTCCTTGATCAAGCTGTCGATCTGTCAACAATGTCAGACATGATTGAGGGCAAAGTTCAAACACAAACTTGACCTTTGTCTTATTTTCACCTTGACCTTTGAAACCTTCTCTTGACATGGACAAATAAAATTCTCTAGGTTCCTATGGAAGAAGTCCATGGAAGACTATCCTCTAATATTGCAGTCAGACAAAACCACAAAGCAATTCTGTTTCAAGGGGCTGCTAATAATGCAATGCAAAAGGAGAAAGAGTCTCCAGAATTTTACTGGATACGTTGATTAATGAATGGCCAAAAGGAACTACTTGCAACTAGAAAACTAGAAAACTTCAAATCTGTTATAGGCAATGAAACTAGAATATTGTAGTACCGTGCTCTGTAGAATATTGACCCTTTTCTCAAGGTCGTGTTTGGCCTGAGCTAGCCGCTGCACCTTTGTCTCCGACATCGCCAATGCCCGCTTCACCTCCAGGTACTCGTCGGCTGTGACTGGGGCCTCCACATGTTCCGATGTCGTGCTCTGTAATACACACCAACACCTGTTATCCACTGCACGGAGGACATCATAACGAGTGAGTGAGTTGGATTTTACGTTGCTTTGAGGAATATTCCAGCAATACCACCGAGGGAGACACCCAATCTCATTAAAATCTTAGTTCTCACTACCGCTAAACAAAGATCTGAGGACATACCATTACGGGTTACGTCAGAACAACCTTTCAACCGACCAATCAGAGCGTCGCTTACAGAGATCATGAAAGTGACACTGGGAATGTGATTTCTGATCATGCAACTGCAAAAGCGTTAACACAGGATATTCCGAACGAGAGTGACATACTTTATGACTGAATCCATACAATCTTTTAGCCATTCCAGAATGTTCGTTTGTTCCGTTTTCAAATTTAAAATCGGAATTCATCAAAATATGTCTCAAAGTGTATTAGCCAGTTTGAAACTAGTGCTGTAAAGCACAGGAAAGCTGCCTTCTGATTGGCTAATATTGACTTCTTGTCAGTCATTCCATTGTTAGGTCAAAGTTTGCGAAAGGTCAGTCTGACATGACCTGTAATGGGATGTCCTCAGATCTTTGTTTAGCGGGAGCGAGGACTAAGATCTGATTTTAATGAGATTGGGACACCAGATCATGAGTGAGTGAACGAACTGGGAGACTACCCTACTGCATTTTCAATTCAATAAAATCATAAATTTGGCATATAGAACACTTCATTCTACCACAACACCAAGTGGAATCGTTTAACAAAGCTGACATCTGATTGGCTCAGAACCCACACATCCTTGACATAGATTGGAAGGTGTCTTCAAGTCTTCACACAGAGAGGTATCATAGTGGAGTAAAAAAATCAGATTTTATAAGATACCCATTCTACCATTCTCTTAGTTTAGATAATGTATGAAGTGGTAGAGTGAAGTAGAGTTTCGTGTTTTCAATTGGTTTTTGATTTGAACTCAGAAATCAAAAATTGCCTAAAACCAAAATACCGATATGTCACTGTACATCATTTTTGGTCCATGCACTTGATAAAAGGCATCAAATGTTCTGCACAGAAACTGTGCAACTAATGTATCATTAGCTGTCTACCATGCAGCATCTTAGATTGTACACCACACATCACTATGCCTTAGTGACAATCTGAGACAGGGAAATACCAACATGAAGTTCCCTGGTGTTCCTTAAACTTCATGTAATATCCAAATCTAATTTCAGTGATTCCTCTTCAGAATATACTGCCACTGATAAGCTACTTTGGTAAGATCCATATCTGAAACTGCTTACACATGATGATATGAGTCGTGACCTAGCAAATCAGTGTTGGCAAGCAATGATCCACACCAATGGCTTACAATGACATCAGTCAGGTCACACATAGTGAGCATCACATCTTGATTTTAGTCATCGACTATAACAAGCAATGTGTACAGGAAAACTATTCTAATCTGGAATTACAGGGTGAATGTCTACAAAAATACTGATATAAGTGATAATAATGTATTATGTAAACTCTATCTCTGGCTCTTGACATGCAAAAGCAGTATTATTTTGTGTGAAGCCCTCATTCTATCAAATACACCTCACAAGTCTGACCAGAGTGTGACATAGTTGCCTCATCTTAGCAATAATATGTTAAATTCTTCTGTGTGTCTAAAATATATATCAAACTGGTTACTGACGGACAAAATGACTTATTGTTTTCTGAAGTAGAAACACAGAGTCAATACACACTTTTTCATGGTGTTTTCCCATTTCCTTCCATCATGTGAATTTGTGTTTCAGTAGCAGGCTGAACAAATCTTGCTTTTCTAAACTCCCAAAACAAGTGCTAATTTCAGATATTCAGTAGTAAATGAACATTTTTGAAAGAAGGTGCAACAAGGAACAGTATTAGCTAGGACCCGTCTCTAATTTTCACAAGTGGTCATAGCGCATATTGAGATGGAAATCAGTGCAAAACAACAGGTCGCCTACATCATTTAAAAAGAAGAGTTATCCCCTTTGTGAATTTCTCTGAGCATAAATCTGCCATTTGAAAGAGTGAGTGAGTTGGATTTAGCGCCACTTTTAACAATATTCCAGTAATATCACAGCGTGTCAGCTTAATGTGGGCGGAAAGCATGAAGTGATGCAGGTCTCAGACGTCTATCACTATGGTGAAACCCACGAGCACGGGTATGGTGCTGACAAACCTAGAAACATAATCAGGGCGAACAGGGATTCAAACCCACAATCATAGGTTTCTGACATGGTCAAGGGACGGAACTCTGCACAGCGAATTGCGGCGCCTTATACAACTGGGCCACCCTTGCCCCCCATTTGAAAGAGGTTCCTTATCCTCATACAATCAACTATAGGGGCTGGGCACCAGGTCCTAGGCTCACATCTAGTCTCTGAAATGAACATATTTTACAGAAAAAAACAGTTGTTAAATTATAGTTAGAAAATATAATCAATAGGAGCCAAGAAACTTTCTTCATTTTCAGATACTGCAGTAATCATGACTTGCCAAATATTATAGACTTGCATGGGCTTTATTGGATATATTTGTTTCAGGATGTGTATGACAGACTAACCTGGTCTCTGCTAGTACACATTGCCTTTCTTCTTATAAAGCACAAAACAAAAGATGGTCATGCAAACTTCAAGTAACAAACCCTCTGTAGCACGAGGTGTACAATCTCACAAGCAACACCAACTCAACAGAGAAGGTGATACTAGAAGCAATCATGTAAAACATGCGAGAACTTCATGCAGTGGATTACAAGCATGAAACATGTAAGATTGGATAAGTGATCTGGTGAGGTGGGGTTATGGTTATCAGCCGGGACATGGAGACATCAGACCGAGGTCACAGTCAGGGTAATGGAACACACAACCAGAAAACTAGGTTACCAAAACAAGTGAGTGAAGTCAGGGATTGTGAGTTTGGTTTTATGTTGCTACTCCGCATTATTCCAGGTCAGAAGCAATGAAGAATGGGCATCAATGTGGGGAACCAACACTGAACAATTTTGTAACCCTCCACCAAACCCCAACCCCAGATGCGTTGCAACAAAACTGTCTGTATTGTTATATTGGTTATGCTGTGATAGAAAGTGTCACCGAGTGAGTGAGTATGGTTTCATGCCACTTGTAGCAATATTCCATCACTATCATTGGCATAAGGAAGTAACTCCTTGTTATGTTTATATTATGTTCATCAGGAGATATTGGAATAAGGAAGTAACTCTGCAGCTTCAGTGTTCTTCTGCTCATCATCAGTGCTCATCATCTCATAAAAAAACACTACAAAGTGAAGCACACCAACGATGCCATGAGTACATCCACTCAATATTCAAAATTCTTTACTCATGGTTCATAATGGGAACTTTTCTTGCAATGTAATATTTATACACAACGCACAACTTATAGATGTGTTCTCCACAATAACAGTTTTCTGCTCCCTCTGAACCTGAGTGTGGAGATGAGAACCTCACACATTATATGCCAGAGAGAGGGTTAAGGTGTTCTGGTGTTCTCTACAACTATCCATGGAGATGAAAACCTCACATATTAATATGGCAGGGAGAGGGTTAAGGTGTTCTGGTGTTCTCTACAACTGAGTATGGAGATGAGAACCTCACACATTATATGGCAGGGAAAGGGTTAAGGTGTTCTGGTGTTCTCTACAACTGACCATGGAGATGAGAACCTCACACATTATATGGCAGGGAAAGGGTTAAGGAGTTCTGGTGTTCTCTACAACTGAGCATGGAGATGAGAACCTCACATATTATATGCCAGGGAGAGGGTTAAGGTGTTCTGGTGTTCTCTACAACTGAGCATGGAGATGAGAACCTCACACATTATATGCCAGGGAGAGGGTTAAGGTGTTCTGGTGTTCTCTACAACTGACCATGGAGATGAAAGCCTCACACATTAATATAGCAGGGAGAGGGTTAATGTGTTCTGGTGTTCTCTACAACTGACCATGGAGATGAGAACCTCACACATTATATGTCAGGGAAAGGGTTAAGGTGTTCCGGTGTTCTCTTCAACTGAGCATGGACATGAGAACCTCACATATTAATATAGCAGGGAGAGGGTTAAGGTGTTCTGGTGTTCTCTACAACTGAGCATAGACATGAGAACCTCACATATTAATATAGCAGGGAGAGGGTTAAGGTGTTCTGGTGTTCTCTACAACTGACCATGGACATGAGAACCTCACATATTAATATAGCAGGGAGAGGGTTAAGGTGTTCTGGTGTTCCGGTGTTCTCTACAACTGAGCATGGACATGAGAACCTGACATATTAATATAGCAGGGAGAGGGTAAAGGTGTTCTGGTGTTCTCTACAACTGAGCTCCACATGCTGAGCCTGCTCACCTCAGTGAAGGAGATAATGGACATGGGAGTTTGACGCCTCAGTGTTGAGTCCTATGACAAATAACATGACATGTGCATCAAGTTCAATACAAACACAAAAGTACAAAAAATTGAAAGAGGATTACAAAATGATGAAAATATACAAAACGAAAATTGCAGTGATACTACATTATCACAATCAACATCAGACAGAAAAATAAATGGCCCAAATAATTTACATCCACATGATGAAGACTAGCAAAAACCTTGTCTGATTTGTGCACCAGCAAGATATAGACTAGACAATGAAGACACAGAGACATACAATAAGAGGGCGGTGGAAAGAATATACACTTTATATATGGAATTCAAGGAAAAGAAATAGGCATTGTAGGTTTTACATGATACATAATTTATTGATATGTGTCTTTTCCAAACTAAAGTTATTGAGAGCCGTAGACGTCATATCAGGATATAATTGTGTTGTTTTTAACTACTTAAAGTTGTCATTTTCTTTGCCTAGGTATTCCATCCGCTGTGTGCTGAAACGATTCCGGGTTAAAAATGTGTCAATCTATAGGCATGAATCATGTACTCACATCAGCTGGCTTGTCTCTCCTCATCTCTTCTCGCATACTCTTAATGCTTATAGTATCAATACTGCTGTAGTCCTCGTCCGACGCCACGCTGTCATACAGAGGCTCGTCGTCACTGAATGCGCTGACTCCCTTCGACAGGCGGGCATGGAGGTACTTGTCTGCAAAAATATTCATGAAAATAAATGTGAGTGAGAGAGTCAAACTATTAGTCACTTTTAGCAGTATTATATCTATATGGGCAGGGGACGCCAACCATGAGTCTAACACTTTGTACTCTTGTGTGGTGATTTGAACTTGGGTTTCCGCATGTCAGTATGACGAGCCCCACTCAACCATGTGGCTTCCAATTAGACAATTTTTGGACTGTAAAAAACTGCAAAGTAGAAACAGAAAGAATATGTCTTGACATCCATAACTATCCAGTTTACAAACTCTGACCATTAATGTCAAGTCTGAGAAGAGATACTTCACAAACAATGAGTAGCTACATCTCCATAAACAATAAAACATGTATTCAACATGCTTACATGGAAAGCAAATACCACTCCTCAGTCAATCCTTAGTGCTGAACATGCATAAGGCCATCGACTGACCAGATCTAAATCTGACCATCATAAAGTACACACAGCTGGCATAATAACCTGTTCATGTCAAGTAGCATGTAACATTCACCTCACATCTTGGACCTTCCACTCAAAGAAAAGGCGTACCTATCACAGCTGGTCGGAGTGACAGCGCCAGCCCCAACACTCCAATAGCGTTCACATAATCAGCATTCCTAATGATAACCTTAGAACGTTGTCTTACACAATCAACCTGCACCCTGCACTGCATATGAGGAAATCAGTGAGGCAGAACAGGGATTCCCCGATATAGACACCCCACCTGTGAGGTGAGCATCCGAGACTGGGTCAGTCTGGTCACACAGAAAACCTGAATGCATGTCACAGTAGTCTACTTAACAGAGGAACCCATTAGTTACGTTTCCTTAACCAGGACACATGCTGAAGGCACAGTAGTCTACTAAGGGTCAATTTGATGCTGTCTAACTCAAGTTGTTTGTGGATGGATTAGCACATTGCAGGTCACTCTCTATCAAGCACATTTAAGGCAGACTAGGCTCGGATATAAAAGCAGTCCTGGTTAAATTGATTCATTCCAACTCACCCTATAACTTAAGATAAAATAGCAACAGGCCATGTGTCAGGTAACACTAGTTACAACATCTACATCTGAACAGAAATGAGCACAACACTGGAGCAGAAACCCCATTTAAGGATGGACTTTTCACTGAATCAATATATATGTACAAATATGTACAAGTAATGCATGATTTAGACATGCACCAAAACCCAAATGGATTGTAATCCCATTCTACATAATACATCCAATGTCATAAATTATATGTTAACATTCTCCATGTGGTATTTAGAAGTTGAGGTACCAACAAGGACAAGCTGTAGTGCTATGGGTCCACAGCTTGTTTGGATGTTGGCACACAGGATGGTGTATATATTCAGGTGACTAACTTGTCAGCCATCACACAGTAAGAAGGTCCTGCCTGTTTAACTAAGGAGTCCCACTCACGGCTGACTATTTGTATAATCACCTACAGCAGCTGGTGAGCAGCCCTCAACATCAGTCAAATGTTTTAACTTTTGAGACATATTTGACAAATTGAAATAGTTCACTTGATAACTGCATTCCATACCAAAGGCCACGATTGTCTTTTCTGAGACTCTTATTTACAATAAGCTGGTTGGTGGGTGGGGTAATAATAGAAATTGGGTTCTTCAAAACTTATCAGAATATGTTGCCATGTAAGCAGTGAAAACTTTCACAAAGTGCATTCACTGGGATGCAGAGAATTCTATACTAACCAACTAACATTAATCATCCAAAACATACAATAAAACAGTCAAAAGCTTCACAATCATCTGGCACGAGCATTTCTATATCTGTTTCATTACATTGACATTACATTGATATAGAGTGAATCATACTGTCCTGATACAGACTGAATCATACTGTCTTGATACAGACTGAATCATACTGTCCTGATACAGACTGAATCATACTGTCTTGATATAGACTGAATCATACTGTCTTGATACAGACTGAATCATACTGTCCTGATAAAGACTGAATCATACTGTCCTGACACAGACTGAATCATACTGTCTTGACACAGACTGAATCATACTGTCCTGACACAGACTGAATCATACTGTCTTGACACAGACTGAATCATACTGTCTTGATACAGACTGAACCATACAGTCTTGCTATTGACTGAATCATCCTGTCCTGATGCAGACTGAATCATACTGGCTTGATACAGACTGAATCATACTGTCCTGATACAGACTGAATCATACTGTCCTGATGTCAACTGAACCATACTGTCCTGATACAGACTGAATCATACTGCCCTGATGTCGACTGAACCATACTGTCTTGCTATTGACTGAATCATACTGTCCTGATGCAGACTGAATCATAATGTCTTGATACAGACTGAATCATACTGTCCTGATACAGACTTAATCATACTGTCTTGATATAGACTTAATCATACTGTCTTGATACATACTGAATCATACTGGCTTGATACAGATTGAATCATACTGTCCTCATACATACTGAATCAAAGTGTCCTGATATAGGCTGAATCATACTGTCCTGATACATACTGAATCATACTGTCCCGATACATACTGCATCATACTCTCTTCATACAGACTAAATCATACTGTCCTCATACATACTGAATCATACTGTCTTGATACATACTGAATCATACTGTCCTCATACATACTGAATCATACTGTCCTCATACATACTGAATCATACTGTCCTCATACATATTGAATCATACTCTCTTGATACAGACTGAATCATACTGTCCTGATACGTACTGAATCATACTGTCCTCATACATACTGAATCACACTGTCCTCATACATATTGAATCATACTGTCTTGATACAGATTGAATCATGCTGTCTTGATATCAACTGAATCATACTGTCTTTATACAGACTGAATCATACTGTCCTGATACATACTGAACCATACTGTCCTGATACATACTGAATCATGCTGTCCTGATACAGACTGAATCATACTGTCTTGATATAGACTGAATCATATTGTCTTGATACAGACTGAATCATACTGTCTTGATACAGACTGAATCATACTGTCCTGATACAGACTGAATCATACTGTCTTGATACAGACTGAATCATACTGTCTTGATACAGACTGAATCATACTATCCTGATACAGACTGATTCATACTGTCTTGATATAGACTGAATCATACTGTCTTGATACAGACTGAATCATACTGTCCTGATTCGGGGGCACGGGTGGCCCAGTCTTTTTAGGCGCCGCGATTCGCTGTGCAGAGTTGCGTCCCTTGGGCACGCCAGAAACCTATGATTGTGGGTTCGAATCCCGGTTCGCCCCAATTATGTTTCTAGGTTTGTCAGCACCATACCCGTGCTCGTGGGTTTCACCGAAGTAAACGTCTGAGACCTGCATCACTTCGGGCTTTCCTCCCACATTACGCTGACACGCCGTGATATAACTGGAATATTGTTAAAAGCGGCGTTAAACCCAACTCACTCACTCACTCACTACTGTCCTGATTTAGACTGAATCATACTGTCTTGCTACAGACTGAATCATACTGTCTTGCTACAGACTGAATCATACTGTCCTGATATCGACTGAATCATACTGCCTTAATTTAGACTGAATCATACTGTCTTGATGAAGACTGGATCATTCTCCCCTGATAAAGACTGAATCATACTGTCCTGATACAGACTGAATCATACTGTCCTGATACAGACTGAATCATACTGTCCTGATACAGACTAAATAATACTGTCCCGATACATACTGAAACATACTGTCTTGATACAGACTGAATCATACTGTCTTGATACAGACTGAATCATACTGTCTTGATACAGACTGAATCATACTGCCTTGATACAGACTGAATCATACTGTCTTGATACAGACTGAATCACACTCTCTTGATACAGACTGAATCATACTGTCCTAATACATACTGAATCATACTCTCTTGATACAGACTGAATCATACTGTCCTGATACATACTGAATCATACTCTCTTGATACAGACTGAATCATACTGTCCTGATACATACTGAATCATACTCTCTTGATACAGCCTGAATCATGCTGTCCTCATACATACTGAATCATACTGTCTTGATACATACTGAATCATACTGTCCTGATATCGACTGAATCATACTGCCTTAATTTAGACTGAATCATACTGTCTTGATGAAGACTGGATCATTCTCCCCTGATAAAGACTGAATCATACTGTCCTGATACAGACTGAATCATACTGTCCTGATACAGACTAAATAATACTGTCCCGATACAAACTGAATCATACTGTCTTGATACAGACTGAATCATACTGTCTTGATACAGACTGAATCATACTGTCCTGATATCGACTGAATCATACTGCCTTGATACAGACTGAATCATACTGTCCTGATACAGACTGAATCATACTGTCTTGATACATACTGAATCATACTGTCCTGATACAGACTGAATTATACTGTCCTGATACAGACTGAATCATACTGTCCTGATATAGTGTGAATCATACAATCATAATAAAGCGGACATGGATGCTTTGACTTTAAAAGATATCATATGAACACAAAGGTCGCCCAAAAGCTTACCAATTTAATGCTCTATCCTAAGGATAATCTGAACTACATTTCATCTTCTTACTGTGAATACTTCTTGACTTATCTTGAACATAATACATTTATATGTGTGACCTTCAGAGTGAATTTCATATTGAATATTAGCAGGAGTAGTGACAATTATTTCAAGGACAATCCAGGAATTTCCATCACGTAAATAAATGTCTCTCTGTGGATTTCAAAGTAACAACGAAAAACAGGAACAGCAAATCATTGATTGCAGTTCACAGTGACCTCCCACTGATATCATAAGACTGTCATCACTTGCCAAACACGTTTTTTTTCCACATGGAAAAATATTACTGTCAGCACATAACACCGGAAATACCATGTCAACAAATCCATACTGAAGTACGCAAAATCATCATGTAATTACACTGTC